CCCACGGAGGACTACATGAGCCACATCATCGAGAAGTGGTAGTGGTGGCGGCCGCAGGGAGACCTGGCAGGGCGGGGTGCGGAGGGCCACAGGCCGCTTGCGAACGGGGCCCACCCAGAACAGAGTGGGGAGCAGGGGGCGGGGCCAGGTGTTCTTGCTGCTCCCCAGGCAGGGTCTGAGGATCGGCGTGTCCGCCCACTGGGGCAGGAAAGCGTGCTGGAAAGATGCCCCAGGTGTGGGGGCGCGGGAGGGCCCCTGGGGCAGGTGGCAACCCTGTCATCATCCTTCAGCGAATGGTTGGGAAAAGGAGACAGGGACCCTGGGGAGAGGACGAGCCAGGCCTGGAGCGAGTCCCACACCAACTGCACACACCTGCGCGCGCCCTGCCGTGTGGGCCAGCGTGGCACGAGGCCAGCTCAGACAGCCGGCCCGGCGCCCTCCCGAGCTCCCAGTTCCGCCTCCTGTGGCTGTCCAGGCCAGGGTCACCCCACTGAGGCCAAGGAGACTCCAGTCCAACCCCTGGAACCCACTCCCTCACTGGCCCAAGGGCAGAGCTCACAGCACAGCTTGGCCTTGGGGGGACAGGCAGACAGGGCTCTGGCAGAAGCGGGGTGGGCACCCGGGACTCCCTGCCCTGCTCTCCCAGACCCACCTGCCACATCACTAGAGCCTTTACTCAAGGGCTCACAGGCCACCGTCCCGGACCCCGCTCGGGAAAGGGTAATGAGCTGTGTCAGCTGGGGCTGGGGCCAGAGCTGCTGCCCGTGAGCCGTGCCTGGGCCGTGGTGATTCTCGTGGTCAGGAAGGGTCCTGAGACCCTCAGCTTCCTGACGAGGGCTGCCCCACCCCACCCAGGAGCTCAGCCCTGCCCCCACGTCTCTAGTCCCTTCCCTGACCCTCAGAGGCTGGCCGGTGGCCTGCTAGAAGCCATGCTGATACTCGTTGAATGCACTTGCCCCATACGGGTGTCCCTGACCCTGCAGTAGGACAGGGCCCTCCTCCCTGCTCCCAGTCTCTCCGGGCCACCACCCGAACCCACCACGGAGTGACGGGTTGTCACCAAGGGTGGGGGTCCCATACCCCTGGAAGAAGCAATTCGTCCCTGTCTACACACAGCCCCACCCCAGGCCTCTGTGCCTGCCGTTGCCCCGGGGGTCCAAAGGTAGCAAGGGCTAGAGTGGGCATTGTCCAGCCCCACCCGGCCCAGGGCTGCCTCCCCGGCAGGTGTCACTGGAGACGTGGGCTCCAGGTGAGTGACGGGTGGCTCTTGGGGAGGGCGGCCCCCTTCGACATCAGGAGGCAGGGCTCTGGTGCTCTTCATCTGGGCTGCTTCTGAGGGGGTGTGGGGTTATGGGGGACCCCTGCTGTCCTTCATTCTCAGGCCATGTGAGGTACCTTGGTGTCCTGTCCAGAAGCGGGCGTCCGGCGAGCTCCCTGTGCGGCCTGAGTGTCAGCCTTCTTGTATATATTGAGTATGTGTTAATGCCCCGCTGTCCCCACGCGAATGGAAGCACGGGTCTCCTCTCGGTCTCTGCTGCGTTTGGAAAACAGTCCCAGCCCAGGCCAGTGCCAGGCTGAGCCATCTGGGGCCCGCAGCTGCCCAGCCGGCGCTTCCTGCTCAGGCTGCCTGCTTTGGGAAAAAGCTGCTTGTGTCTGCAGAGTGTCCCAGGCGTTCAGAGGACAGGGCAGCCGGTCACCGGGCACCCTGTGGACCTGGAGGGAAGCCGGGAGCAGAACTGTCTGAGCAACGAGTCTGTGAACTTTTCGGGAACTGGAACTGTTTCACTTGAACCCAGGAGCGTTTAAAGCTTTATTTATTTATAGCTTCTTATTAAAAAAAAAAAGTGTTGAGAAGAAATCTTTTGGTTATTCATACAAAAAACAGAGTTGATGATGGAGAAGCAAGTCATAATCACCTAATTGTTTCTGTCCAGGTTGAGAATGTTAGCAGACGAATAAACCTGAAAAGGACCGCTGTGTGCTGTGGTCTGTGGTGCTGTGGCCTCCCCGACAGCCTTCTCCCGAGTCGCTGTCCACACCGTGTCCCTGAGCCCAAGCACGCGTCTCGGCCTCCTGTGGGTGCCGGGAGTGGGGTGCAGTCAACGAAAACCGACTCGCCGTCCCGAGTGACAGTTTATTAACCTTCAGTACATTTACTCCTGCTGAGAACCAGGCGAGAGAGAGACTGCCAGGAATCCCGGTGCCGGGGTCACTGCAAATGTGACCTCTTTGCCCCTCCACTGTAATTTGGAACAACTTCAGGTAACAAGGTGGGAAATGCAGACTGCATAGGCTGCATTAGTTCTGTTGTCCCAGGGACACGCGGCTGCACAACTGCTTTCCTGCCTGGCATGGCACCACACACCGGTGAGTGGCTCCATCTGATGACGGCCTACGGCACAGTCGTGGGGCCACCCTGAGATGGGATCCGCCTCGGTGCCCGCGTGCCGGGGGAGAAGTCCGCCCGCGGGACGCTGCAGACACTGCCCACTTCGGCACCGTGGTGGGCTCCGCCGAGTCCCCTGAGACTCACGCTTTTACCCTGTGCTCACACCCGTCTACACACATGCGGGCTCACCTCCTCTGGAGATGGGCTGTGGTCCTCAGCGTGCTCCCAAATCCTTACTCGGGTCTCTCGGGAGCAGCACTCGGCTGCAGCCTGCACCCCTTCAGCGTGTCCCCAAGCTTGCTGTCAGCACAAGTTCTCATGCAGGACACTCGTGCCGAGTCTCCAGCGGTCCCAGTGACACCTTCAGAAGGCTTTGTGGCCCCAGGACTATGGGCTTCCTCGCGCCTCCTGCCTCCTTTACCATACAACCTCCATTTTCACCTCAGATTTGGTGTGAGCTCCACTTTTGAACTGCTGCTCCACCACCAGGCCACATCCCCAGCCCTTTTTATAGTATTTCGAGACAGGGTCTTGCTGAGTCACTAAATTGCCCAGGCTGGGTTTAAAACTTGTGACCCTCCTGCCTCAGCCTCCCAGAGTGATGGGATTACCGGTCTGTGCCACTATGCCCAGCTGAGCCGTCCCTTAAAAGTTCTGCAGCATCTGCTTATGATCACCTGCATTTCAAGATTTTGAACCAAGCGCCCCAGGACAGGAGGCTGGGCTGGGGCCCTGAAGAGCACAGTGCTGTTCTGAAGGGTGGGGGCCGCGTCTCCCTTGAGCTGCACGGGGTGGGGCAGACAGGAAGTCCAGGCTGCCCCAGGGGACCCAGGAAGCTGGTTCGGGTGTGTGGATGGCAGGAGACCCTTTTCCAGGGAGGCCTCACCGCAGGGCCTTAAGGCCACCCTCCTACTGGGACAGGGTCTTGCCCCTGCCACCAACACACAGCAGCAGCAAGGCCTTTCAGGTGTGCTCTGCCAGGCGGGGGCTTGGCCCCTAGCTGGACGGCTGGCCTGCCGGTTGCCCTCAGAAAAGGAGCCAGTGAGGCGCCAGCTGCTTCCGGTCCAGGAGCCTGGTCCAGGAGCCTGGCCCAGCCTGACTGAGGCCTTCACCTAGGCCCACCTGGCCATGAAGGCAGTCTTTAGCCCTGCTTGAGAGAGTTGTTAAAGCAGACTCCTGGGCTAAGCGGCCCTCTGCCAAGGCCACTGCAGAGCAGAACCACAGACCCCATCTCCTCTGGGCCTCTTCAAGAACTGTTCTCTCTTCCCTTCTTTCCTTCAAAGAGTGACAGTTTTCCACCCGTCCCTCCTGGCCGAGGCCAGCTTTTCCCTACCCCCAGGGTCTCCCAGCTGGCCCAGCTTCCTGTGTGTGAGCAGGTCCCTGGCAGCCAGGAAGGTCTGAACGTCGCAGCCCCACCTGGACCTGCCTACAACGCAGCTCTGCGGAAGACGCTGCCCTCCGCCTGGCTCCAAGCTTCCCCTCGCTCTGGGGGTGATGGACAGGTCCACTCAGGGGCTGTCCTCAGCGTGCACAGACTGCTGGGCCCTCCAGTCCTTGCCCTCTCTCTAGGTGGCATCAGACCCAGGACGTGCTCGCCCTGGCCAGCCAACAGCGGCCCCGAGGGCCTTCCCAGCTCTGTGTGAGGAGCAGCCAGTCCAGGACTTCGGAAAACGACTTTGCTTTCTCAAACAAAACTCCTGGTGCTCAGCCCTCCCAGGGCTTCCCGGGACGGAGCACCTGCCTCACTCCCTCCCACCCCCCACCTGCACCCTTCTCCCGGCCGGCACACAGTCAGCCTGAACTTGGGGCCGCAGAGAGGGAAGGTCCTGAGCAGGAAGAGGCCCAAGCCCCTGCCCCGTCCAGCTGGCTCTGTACAGGAAGGGACCTTTCTGAATTTGAAGAGTATTTCAAACAGAGCCTGCAGAAGCATCGCTTGATGGCTGTTCTCCCCTCCTCCCCTGGTAGCAGAACCTCCACAGGGCAGGGAAAGCAGACAGCCAAGATCAAGACTAAGTTTCCTATGAACAGTGAAACATCCTAACCAATAGAGTACCAGAGGAGTTGTCATTTGCATTTTAAAGAGACCACCCTAAAAGACAGGACCAGGCCCGCTTGCTCCTTTCCCCTACCTAACAGCTACAATGCGTATGTGATGGCTGGAGCTCAAGGAGCCGTATTGGACAGTGGAGTAGAAGCCAACGCTCAGGATGAAGCAGCAGTAACATAGGCTCCTGATGATTATGCAAGCTTCCTAACAGCTTTGGGCTGCCTACCTTAGGACTATCCATTTAAGAAATAACCATGTACCAGCCATCCCAGCATTTGAGAGGCAGAAGTAGGAGGACTGCCTTGAGTTCAAGTCCAGCCTGAACTACAGAGCAAGACCTCATCTTAACAAAAAAAAAAAAAAAAAAAAAAACA